GGAAGTTAAAAGATACAAACAAGTATTCCAGTAGGTACTGTAGCCATTCTCTCTTAGTGTTAGGTTTGAAATGAGGCGTAGAAAAATAGCAATAAACTAAAAGGAACGTATTAGAAGTATGTTTAACTTCTAAATATTTCTGCTTTTTAGAGAAACATATTTCAATTCTAAGAGATTTTGCTGATCTAGAAAAACTAGCAAACATCAAAGAAGGTGTGTTTACCATGTCAGGCTCCAAGAACACAGATCTTCATGTTACAGGTATTTACATTTTTGCTTAGTTTTTAACATACCACATATATTTATAACACTTGAAGACTAGGAATTTCATTAAAAGTTACTTTACAATTTGTTCCCTTGCTTATCGAGTAAGTTTGCTTCCTTCAGTAAATTTGAGACCTTAATGATTCCTTTCCATCTTTTTCTGCTGCATTGTAGCACTTCTGAAGTTGGCAGCCTGCACGGATCAGTGAATTACTAATTCTAGCTATACAACAGCAGCTTAGTTTCATTTTTATTTCAAATGCCATGATAACAGGGAAGCTAATTGTTATCTTTGCAGTGCATAATAAATATGTATTCTGAATTGGATGTTTGTTTGGTTTTTTGCCCCCCACACTCTCTATTCATTTCTTATTCAGATGTGTATTGAAGGATTGCTTCAAGTCTGCAAAGTGTTTTTATTACAACTTTTTTTTTTCTTTGATTACACCTATATATTTAGTGCAGGTAGTGGCAGCCCTTTCAACTGAAACTTATTCACAGATCAAGAAAAACATCAGGGTCCATACAGGCTCTGCAAATAGGGCTCTTACACCTTCATTTTAGAGTGGCCACTGATGGGAATAATAGCCTACTGCTATGATTGGTTAGTTTTACTAACAAATATGCAAAAAAATTTCTATAGTTAGTTTGTTCCATTTTTTATGAGGAGATAGGTCATAAATATCTTATAAAATTGGTACTTATAGCTGTTGCTGAGCTGAGTTATATGTAAATCCATGCTAGTGTTAAGAAACTCATCATTCACTTGCCTGTTCTCTACGGTAATTTTTTTTCTTCTACCACAAATGTAGCATTCGTCTGCCATTCGTGTTAATGGGCTGACTTGCGTGTATTACTATCGCCTCGTGTTATTTGATGCTCCCTAAATCATTAGTCAATGAAAAATGCTGATGGGTGTTAGAGCATGCTGGTGAGCTGTTAGGCTGTCTCTCTTGGCTCCCGTGGTTGGGACTCTGCATGTACACAGTAATCCACTCATGAAGTCAAAAGAATTTTGCTCTTGTGCAAGCCCAAGATAAGTATATTACACATACCCACGTTGCATGGTGTGTTTCAGTGTCTGTTGTGTACTAACACGTGGAAGCCTTCATTTTAGATTCTGTGTGAGAGGCTGTTTGACATTTAGCAGCCTTAAGCTCCAGCAGCAGATGTGTGCATGCTCTGGCACGTAATTCCTGTGTACTGCTCTACGTGTCTCCTGGTAGCTAGTTTTTTTGTTTAGGTTAGTACTTCAAGTGCTTCAGCACGTTTGATGTCGGATAATCTTTGCCTTTGCCTTTTCTGTCCCTTCAGGCAGGATTTCCAAGAAGAAAAATTATTTTAACATAGAGTATGTTATCTTTTTTTGCAAATACCAGGTGATTCTTTTATCTAGAAGAATCAGGAGGAGGAGGAAGGACAGATTCGTGTTCTAACCTCCCCAGTTGGGTTTTTGGTGGTTTGGGTTTGTTTTAGTTTGTGTTCTTTTTTGGTTTTTTTGAAACCTTGCAAGTCCCTGGGCTTAATCTATAAAATTCTGTTATTCTGCAGTGCTCGTCAGAACTTGCATTAGCGTCATTTTACTGGAGTGAAAAATAGTAGAAAACAAAAACTAAAGGTTGTAGAAGTTAATGTAATAAGTAAGTTTAACATAATAGTGGTTCTTGTTTATATTCTGTGGGGTAGAAAGGTCTGTAAGTTTGAACTGTGTGTGCTCGAAATAGAATATACCCTAGGGAATTAATCTTTAACTTACGTTGATAATACCTTTTTTTTTTTTCTCTTTTTTCCTCTTAGCATGCATGTCTATTGACTGGCAACTGCATTTCATGTGTTTCTCGTACTTTTTGTTTATTTGTATTTTCAGATGAAAAGAAGCCTTGTCCATTGTGTTCTGAGGAGAAATACAAAGCTTGCTATACTCATAAACTTTATCGTCACCTTCAGAATTTTCATTGGAAAGTTTCTGTTGAATTTGAAGGTAATGGCAGTCATATTTGAATAGTAAACGCTAGAAGAAATTGTGGACATGTAGGACACTGTTCAGTGTTTCATCTTTCTAAATTCTTAAGCATCTTACTACCAGCTCTGACTTAGAACCATATTTTGAGCTCTGAATTAGAACCATATTTTGAGCTCTGAATTAGAACCATATTTTGACATGAAATTTGATGTGGGATGTAAAACGTAAATGTAAAATAGCTCTGTATTCTTGTAGGTGCCAATTGTGCATATTCTTATTTGAAAAAACCCAACAATTGCACAGCATGTTATCAAAATTACTACAAAATTTAAAGTAGGTGTATAATGACATTACTTTAAAAGTTTTTGTTATATTGTTAATAATCTGACACATACGGTCATTTTTTGACTCAAAGATTCCATGGTTTCAGATAAATATTTATTTAATAGTATTTTATAGCCTTACCTGTTTTTAACAAACTCTGTGATCTGCTTTTAAGATGCCTGTAAGAAATTTAAGAATGGAAAGGTGGAGAGCAGCATGTGTTTTTAAAGAAAAAGGTGTATGGGTATGCATGGACAAGAATAAAGTTTAAACTAAAAATTATCTGACTGGAGTTCTGGTTTTGCGTGCAGTAACAGGCGTCTTTTTCGAGGGTTTGTTTTTCTTTAAACTGTGCAACATATGTATAGGAGTCTTCACACATGCCTTCTAGCCAGGTAACAATACTTCAGCAAAAAGTACCTTAGAAAGTTATATACCCTGTATCCTGAAGACTCCGTGTAGCTTTGTAGAATGTGAACAGACTCATTGAAATGAGTTGTCTGTGTGTAATTTTACTGCATTCTAAAGTACAAAATGTGTATTTAACTGATAATATCCCTGTGCAGAGGGTGAATGTACCAAATAGTTGGTGGTGTTCTCTTATTGCTGTCTCATGGCAGTAATCTTATTAAATGAGACCATGCAGTATAGAACAAATGCACTCTGTTTATTTACACTACTCTGATGTGACAAGAATTTGTTTTCCAGGGTACAGAATGTGCATCTGTTATTTACCTTGTCATCCAGTAAAACCAAACCTCATCGGAAACCAGGTAAAAATGCTGAATCACAGAAACGTTCGTTGCTCTACAAAGCAGGGGAAGTGAGTGATTTAAGGGAACTTTTGTCATCTACATAGTCATAAAATATATCTTGCTCTCCAGTATGGTATACCAAAAGCTTGTTGGCCCAGCATTTCATACACACCTTGGGTAGCTGAACGTAGTAGTATCTCTTGTTTTGGGGGGTGACAGCCTAGATCATGGAAAACGCTGTCACACTTTAGAGTAAGCGGCAGCTGCGTGTGGAAGAGATGAAGGTTCATTAGGCCACGCGATCAATGTTTTCGGTTCCTTTCCTACACATACCCCAGGGTGGCAATTGTCCGCCCCCTTCCCTGTGTTCCATTGTAGCACCTGCAGCCCTGTCACCCTTGGGGTGTGCTGAGGATGCAGAGCATGGGCAGAGTTTAACTAGTTGCTGCGCTGGCTCCGTGGGTGTGCTTATTTACAGTCTCTGCGGCTTAAATTCAAAATACTTTGTATATGCTAGAGGTAACAGATGCCTTCTTCATATGCCTGTGTTCAGGTACAGGACTGTTTTAACCATATTTATGTGTTCTGAAACTACATGTGTTCTATTGTACAGACATTTTCAAAGCCAGGAGCCCATTACCATTGTATTATCTGTTCAGCAACCATCGCAAGAAGAACTGACATGATAAGTCATATTAATCGTCATGTGAATAAAGGAGAAACTGAATCAAGGTTTATTACAGGTAGGCTACATAAAACTTTTGATCTTTTTATACTGTGTGTCACATGCGGTAACTGGTATGTGGGTGAGAGACATTAGAAAAATTCTGAAAGAGAATTCTGCTTTATTAATGAAAAATCTGCCCTTCATATTTCATAACTTTTCCTTTAACGATGTAGCAGTATTGTGATTTAGTGTCTGTATTGACCAGTTACTCTGTTCTTATTGATAAGTAATACTCCCTTCACAACTAGTTTAGTGTTGTAAATACAGACTTCTCTGTCTTCAATAAAATGCGGGACATGGCATCTGTAAAACAAGATCTGTACAGAGAATTTGATGCCTCTCTTTTGTACTGTCTTTCTTTGTGAAACAGTCTAGAGTAAATCTTTGTGCAATATAGAAATCCTTTGCTTTTTATGCAGACTTCATCAGTGTTGACTTACAAAACAAGATCATGTTTTCTCAGCCCTGGAGAGGCGTGATAACAGCCTCAGTAGTTCTTTGGTGAATTACAGTCTTACCTGACTTTCTCCAGGATTAGACTTCTGTTTCTAAACTTGGATAAATAAATTGAAAACATATTAAGTAATTGGAAGGCCAATTCCTGAACTTGTTTCAGCAGGTTGTCTACAGCTGTTAGTAAAAAGCACATGACTGATTAGCTGATGTGTAAAAATTAAAGAGTTATTTTGCTACAGCTGAGACTGTTATTATTGAAAATTAGTCTGATTTCTTTTTTCTCTCTATGTACATGTATTGATTTTATCTGGGTACAATATAGCAAAGATGATCCTGGGAGCTCTGAGGTTCACACTTTTCTGTTGCCAACATGAGTTTAGAAATAGAAGTTTTGTGTCTGGGTATCAGTTTGCACGTCTGAGAAGCAATAGGCTTTGTTGTCAGCCCCAGCCAACGTTGTGTGGTTTTAATTACAACTTCACTGAGCTGGGACAATCAAGCGCTTTCTGATCTTGCCTTCTGGAGCAGTGACTCGAGACAATCTGAATGCGTTTGCCTCCTTGGTATGAGCACAGTGAGCTGGGACGAGCAGGCGTTCCCTAACCTCCCCACCTGAAACGCCTCCAGCCTAGATCACGGCCCACTCTGTAAGGTGCCAGGATTGCTCGACCACTGATGGCCACAACACAGAACCACTGGCTAGAGTCAATCACCTTGCACCCCTGTAAATACAGATGCTAAGCGAGGCCTCTGCAAGCTCCCCGGGCTGGCAGCAGGCTGTGTCTCAGCATCTTCTCCCGAGCTGGGGCATCATTCAGGATAGATTTTTGTGAAGTTCAAGGTAGATTTTGAGGCAGATGATAGGTGCCAACAAAAAAGAAGGGTTCAAAGATTGTCCTGTAAACTGCAGAGAAAGAAACATCTTAATCATTGGTTAGCTTCTCTGCGTATGTGTCTTTGTGTGATTTGATTTAGGAAACTTTGTTGAATCTGAACTAAGTCATCAAGTCAATTATAATGGATTGTTGATCACTGACTGATTAGGTATTGCTACAAAATCACAGAATCCAATCTTACGGTTTAGCATAATAGTGTTAATAAATTTAAATTGCTGCTCCCTCCAAGTTACATGGGACTTGTAATAGCACGTTCAGTCAGTACCCCTGAAATCTCTCCACCTGATTCCTTTAGACATAAACCACTGACCAAACCTGGGACTGCCTTTGGATCCAGCCGCACCCAGACTCCTCTCTGAGAAAGAGTTTAGAGAGCAGGGGGGCCTGTTCTGAACCTGGGGACTCAAAGGGAGAGTCTTCCTTTTCCTGTTCATTGCCCATCTCTGGGCAAATTATTCCAGACCAATTCTAACTCAATTTTCCTTTGCATGTTTCTTCCACATAGTAAGTACAGAGTGAACTTTGTCTTTGAACTCTGTTAAGTCACACTTATACAAACTGATACTAAAAATCACTTTGGCCAAGATCTTTGACAGTGATGCTTTAAGCAACCTAAATCTCTCATCTGCTACACGTCTGTACTATATTCCAGAGCTTTAATTTAAATATAACTTGGGTGTGAAATACATTAATCTCTGTATGGTTCCCTTCAGAGCTGTTAGTAAAGAATAGCCAATTTATACAAAATGCGTGTGGCTATTTTTCCTTGTGGGGAGAGGAGAAATTCAGAGGTCAGGTATTTTCATGCTTTGTAACTGCTTCAGCCCCACTGGGGAGCCCAGAATGCGAAGCACAAGACAGAGCTCTTCACAGACGAGCGGTCCGCATGTGTTTGAAAGCACTGAGAGATAGGCAGGCTGAGTGCTGAAAGGTGCCTAGTCGATAGCTAACAGATTTTTCCTGGTTGTTCCTGGGTAGATTTTCCTAGCAGGGATAAATTTCTCAGAAATGATGGCACATGTTTACAGCTGTCAAATCAGAAATCTTGTTTTGCCACAGACTGATCTACACAAAGCTGAAGTGCTGGAATTGTCCCTGTGGTTGTGCTGTCTATCCATGTCATGAAGCTGTTTGATACCTTAGAGAGATTAGGTCGAGGATTTTAAGGGATTTTTGCAATTTGTTGATACACGTTCAGGACTATGTTTATAGGGTTTTAAGTAATTAGCAGTATGCTATGTGCGAACATGCAAAACAAATGTGCTGTGCCTTGGGCACAGGGGCTTGCTTTCTTAAATTTGAGTGGATACATAGGACCTTAGCTGAGAAATAGATCAGATGTTTTATGGGAAGAAGGTCGTGGTAGAGCTTGATCCTTATCTACCCCTCCTAGGACTAGAAGATAAATTGTTGCCTGCTTTTATTCCCTCACATACTTGGTAACTGAGCCATGTGCTGACTGGATTACGGTATAACCTAGACTTCTTGCTATACAGGAGCAGATTTTCCATTTCAATTATCAAATGTACTAATGTTATTTTAATTTCTCACTATCTCCTTCCCCCAAAATTCCTTTCTTTTAGCTCCTATTTCAAAGTCTTCTCTTGAAGTGCTGAAGGAGTCGGCCACAGATGTGCGGGTTCTTCCGAACTACTCCACACCTCAGAAAACAGATTCCTATTTTAATCCTAAAATGAAACTGAACAGGTAAGAGAACAGGGAGTGGGAGGATGTGTCAGAAAGGTGGCGAGTTTGTAGTGAAAAATAAAAATACTAGTGAAAAATATAAATACTAGTGAAAAATAAAAATATTTGTGCATTTTGAAAAACAAACCCTGCCCAACTTCTGTTCAGAGGGCAGGAGACATCAAAAAGTTCTTCTTGACAAATACTATTTAAACCCCAGAACATTATATAGGAAGTGTTGTAATTTCTGAAGCAATTGAGTCTTTTTCTGTGTTGAGTAGTTTATGGAGAAGAACAAGATTTGAAAGGAGCACAGTTTAAAACTAACTTCATTGTATGCACTTCAGATTTTTTTCTGTGAATCTCCACAAGATTCTACAGGTAGTCATGATTATGCTCTCTAACTGAACAGCAGCATGCCTCTAATTTACAGTTTTCACATTCTAGGCCTTCTTCTCTTGGGAGCTGATTCTCTCCAGTGTCTTCTTGTTATTTGTATTAAAAGGTGGAGGAAGGAACACTGTCTTTTTTTAAGGAGAGTCATAAGTGGTGCATGTACCACAACTGAAAGGTGTGAGAGCTGACACTAACATGTGGGACTGTGCTTCAGCCTGTTTTGTTCTCAGTGCTGTTAATATTTAAGCTTCTGGGGTTTAAGTCAGTTCAGATAAGGCCAGAAAGCCAGGGCACGGGTCTGAAAAGGGCCATTGCAGCTCAGGTTATGGCCGTGTCTAAAAGAACAAGGCCCATTCCTCAACACAGTGGGATTTTGTTGCTCTACACTAGTTTCTGACATCTTTTTAAACACAGAGCCATTAGAAGGATAGTATCAGATTGTGCTAGGAAAATCAGAAAAACAAAATTGACTTTTCATAGAATCATAGAACAATTCAGGTTGGAAAAGACCCTTGGGATCATCGAGTCCAACCATTGACCCTACACTACAAGTTCACCCCTAAACCATATCACCCAACACCCCATCTAAATGATATTTGAACACATCAATCGCTCCTCATAAGGTCTGTTCTCCAGGCCCTTCACCAGCTTTGTTGCCCTCCTCTGCACTCGCTCCAACACCTCGATGTCTCTCCTATACTGAGGTGACCAAAACCGAACACAATACTCAAGGTGCAGCCTCACCAGTGCTGAGTACAGAATGCTAGCTACTTTTTCCAGTGTTAGCATAACCAGTAAGTTGATTCAGGATCTTATGTTATGAATATCCTGATGCAGAAATAAACTTCTAAGTGTAATTGAGGTTTTTGATTTACACTTCTTCAGTGTAAAGCATAGAGTTTAGCTTAAATTTTCTAGTATTATGTTCAGGGGAAAGATATAAGGAAAAGAAAGGAAAAAGTGCTTTCTCAACTAACATATTTTGACTATTCTTTTTTTTTTTCAAGGCAATTGATATTCTGTGCACTAGCTGCTCTAGCTGAGGAACGTAACCCGATAGAATGTTTGGATGCTTTTGGTGCCACTGGTAAATTTCATTTCTTTTAATCCTTTGGCTAATATCCACTAGTATAAACCTACAGAAATCAGTAGTAACTGGTATCACGTATTCGAAAATAATGTGAGGTACACAATAATTTTCTTCCTTAGGCAGGCAGTTATTAGCTTCCGTACAAAAAAAAACCCCACAACCAGATGTCAAGAGCCTGGTATTAGGCCGTTTAAAAAGATGGTAAATAATATCAAATCAAAGTTTAGTTCTCTCCTTACAATTAGTTGTCTTAATGTCCATGGAATAGCATTTTCCTAAACTTGCATCCAGGGTCACAGATCTCTTGTGACTCTGGCTTTGTGGAATTTATCTGTAAAATCAGCCTGCGGTGTTAAAATGAGGATGAATCCATAAGTTGTCTCTTAATTGATTACAGAAATGCTGAACAGAAGCTAAGTGTAAAGTAGTTATGTTGGTGTCTATTAACCATCTGGAACAAGAATCAGAAGAGATCTGGATTGCTGCCAGCTACTGTAAACCTAAGGTCGTAGTTAGGAACAGTGGTAACTGCTTAGCATTTTGCATAACAATTATCAGTAATGAATTTATCATCATTCTGATCTAAGCCAGATTTCACAAGTGCGTCCTGTCCAGCACTTCACAGCGTGATCGTAGACTTCACTGCGAAAGTCAGCAGCGATCACTTGGAGGCAGCCTCGGAGTCTTCACAGTACCTGTTGCCATGTTTGTGTGGTCTGTCACAGGAGTCTGTCTGCTACACTGGACTGCTAAACCAGCTAAGGGGCTTTCCTGCAGATTGGGGGTTCAGCTTGCTGCAAAAATCACAGGTCTTTCAGTATATTGCCCCAATTTTTGTATAAGGAGGTGCCAGATAGACTGTCCCTGTGTGTACCTTGTCACTGTGCTGAGGCAGAAGGTCACCAACACGTTTTTTCAGGAACGTGACAGAATTTATGTCACACACACGCTTTGAGTTACAGGCATTTACAAGGATGGATTTTTTCCTGAGCAAGTTCAGTGATACGGAATCCAATTCCTTGTTCTGTCATGGGGTTACAAGTCTGTCTTTCCTCAGGTATAATGGGATTACAGTGGGCAAAGCATCTCCGAAGTTCTGTGAGAGTTACGATTAACGATTGTAATGAGAATTCGGTGGCAATGATTCGGGAAAACTGCCTTTTAAACCAAATGAAGGTGAAGCTGGACACTAAGGAAGAAGACAATGGTGAAGCTATGGGAGATGCAGAAGACATCACCGTTGAGGTGACAAAAATGGATGCCAATGTTATAATGCATTTGAGATCCTTTGATTTTATGTAAGTGTTGAATGTTCCTGTTAATTTTCTGATTTGATAATGACACACCCCACCCCATCTCCCAGTGTATGATTATTTAGGGAAGTTGGAATGAAAGAATTAACTAGTAGTCAACAGGTATTTTAAATGTGATTATGTTGTTCCAAAAATAGGGAAATCCTAAATGGTTTAGAAATTGCTGAAATAAAAGCTTAAGCACTTCTGACATACAGAATGGACTATAAATGTACATGAAAACATTAAGCCAAAAATTTTAAGTTTCCTTTTGTTTTAAGGATGAAGGTAAGCATCAGGCCAATATTCTTATAACTTGGATTAGTCAGTGTGTCAGCATCCAAAAAAAGTCCTTGCTGGCTTTGTGGTGATGTATGTTTTCCAGTACAGTTCTCCCCTTGCTCTTGCAATAAGATGCTCGGGTATTCCAGAGTAATTCATGAGAGTTGTGTTGTAAATTTTAGTCCAGCTTCCTGCCTGTTTTTTAAATATGGCCACAAATTATGATAGATAAGATTATAAAATAGTGGGTTTTTTTCAGTTTAAAGCTAAACTCTTGAGCATTTCTAGATACTCAGCGATACTTCCTTTATTTTCAGCCATTTGGATCCCTATGGAACTTCTGTGAACTATCTGGATTCTGCCTTTAGAAATGTGAGAAACCTTGGAATTGTGTCGCTGACGTCCACAGACATCAGTTCTCTGTATGCGAAGGCTCAACATGTTGCCCTGCGTCACTACGGATGTAATATTGTCAGGACAGAGTACTACAAAGAGCTGGCAGCCAGAATAGTCATCGCTGCTGTGACGAGGTACTGCTAAAACAGCTCTAAATTATGGTTAAAAAAATTAGAAAATTAGCAGTGATAAAGAAACTTAAAAGACTGTTGCTGTAGGTTGTATATATTCAGTTTCCAAAATTGCCCGATTCTAAAAGCCAGACACGAAATAAATGTTTCATATTTCACGTGTGCTGGTACGGGATAATGGACTGGGCAAGGTGGAAATGCATAAATTGCTGTTGGGGTTTGGGATGGTGGGGAGGGATCAGAATAGAAAAAGTAATACCCAGACTTGCCTATCTGCAAACTTTTATTCCTCTGTCAATTTTGTCATTTTAGCGCTGCATATTAATTAAGCTGCTTGAATGGCTTCTAGCTAAGCAGTAGACTTAGACTTGCTTCAGTGGAAACTGATGTTCACCTCCATTCCTCCTGCTCGAGGTCCAAAGGATACATGTAATTACTCATGTGTGACATCAGTCATTTGCATATAGATATTCTCAGTAAATTCAGGCTGTTAAATAAATGAAAACATAAAATCTGGTCCCTGATGGGGGAGGGCAGAGGAAAGATAGAGGCTAGAGGACGGGACAACTGCTCAGGAAAGACAGGGGGATGAAATAAAGCACACAGAATGCCTGAACAAAAATAATTACTTCAGTATAGAACCATAGACTGGCCTAGGCTGGACGGGACCTTAGAGATGATTTAATCCAACCTCCCCATCATGGCCAGGGACGCCTCTCAACTAGATCAGGCAACACATGGGGAACCGAACAGGGATGTCTAGATTTTACTTCTCCATCTCCCTGCATATATGAAGTTGCTTCCTGCAGAGTATTCTGAGATACAGACATGCTGCTCAAGCAAAGTTTTAATTGTGATCTGAGTTATGTGCTCCCTTAAAGACTTTTTCTTCCTTCTTAATGCTTACCTATTCAGGAACTGCTCACCTGCCTCCCCACAGTCCTTATTTAATTAACACTTGATGATTGACCGTCACGTGCGTCCCTCTACACTTCTGCTTCTCAGATTTTCATTTAGTTTGTTTTATAATTTTTTGTTCCAAACATCCTGGCAGTAGGCAGGTATTTGGATAGAAAGGTGCAGGTGGCAGACCAATATTCCTAGACGCGATAAAAAGAGGTAAAGATGAGCTGAGCCTTACAAGAAGCAGACAACGCTTGGCACTCAGGAACCAGCCCTTTCTCTTCATCACTTGCTCAGCTCTAGAAAGTGGATGAGCTCAAGAATCGGGTTGAGGTGGCTGTGGCAGTTTTTAGTCTGCTGGTTTCAGTACAATGTGGTTTTGTGTTTTGTTTTTTCCTTTGTAGAGCTGCAGCTCGCTGTAACAAAGGCATTGAAGTTTTACTCGCAGTAGCTCTAGAACATTTTGTTCTAGTAGTGGTCAGAGTTTTAAGGGGACCGTCCCCTGCGGATGATTCAGCAAAGAAAGTAAGATACCTCATCCACTGCCAGTGGTGCGAAGAGAGAATTTTTCAGAAAGAGGGTAATATGGTAGAAGGTAATGGCTTTTCTTTGCATTTTCTAGTAGGTCTGATCCCTGTATCTCTGTTTTATGCTTGTTTAGGCCTTGGTTATATTCACAGCCCTTTAGAAAAGCAATAATTCCCTTTAATGTAACAATGAGTATATTGTATGAGGTGGAGAAGGTGCCATGCTTTATGGTTGTGGGTTAGATTAGTTTTCTGCATGGATTTTGCTGTAAATGTACTGGATTTGTTTCTAGACGAGACACTCCCACTAGCTGTAGCTGCTGAAGCTGCCAGGATCCCTGATATTTCCATGGATCTGTCTTTTCAGTAAAGAGCACGAAGGGTAGGGACAATCTGTCCTGCCTTTTGGTTTCTCCATGCAGGGGCAGTGTGATAGTTTTCAGTGTGAGATTGCTTTTTTTTATGGCTCGTTTCAGTTCCCTTAAAACCTGGTGGACTAAACAGTATCACTTTCCCCTCAGATGAGGGCGTATTCTGCCTGCCCTTGGGCAGTGTGTGTCCATGCCCGATGGAAATATCTCGGCAGGTGTGGTAGGAGAGGTATGCAACATGCCTGTGATTCAGCTAACACGTGGTGGTGAACCAAGGCAGCCTCTAGGTTAAAAAAGCAACTGTTTGTGGGCTGTCCCCATACACAAGTTAGCAGGGGTAGGAGACAAAAGTGAAGCTAGCAGTGGCTACATCGGAGCTTGAATGAGTATTGAAAGGAAAAACCTTGTTTGAAAATTAAAGGTTCTTGGATATCTAGCTGCTAACTGGTGGTGTCTTTGCTCTGCTCAAAGTTGGGTGCATGAGCATGCAATGAGCTTGTTGCTTAAAAGATTAAAAGAAAGAGAGAAAGTTTTAATTGCTACACACAGTGTTATGGTAGAGATCTTAATTAGTATATGCATTGTTTTCTTAATGTCTTAATTGCAAGTGAGCTGGCTTATGGCTTAGAAAACTTGTAGGTGGCCAGTATTTTGTAGGTTTAATTGGCTGATGGCTCAGTGTTTTTTTGTGTGTTGATATTTACTGTTAACCTGGAGGCTAATAGTTTCCTAGTTATTTGACACCTGCCAAGAAACAAAGGAAGATAGGTGGCTTTCTTTTTTTCCTTTTTTGTTTTAACAATGATTAAAGATCGAGTGATCAATCACTAAATTCTCATAAGCACCGCTTGGCAGAAGTGAGAACAGTGTCACGCTTTGGTTGTTGCTTGCTCTTTCAAATAAATACCTCCACTGAAGTAAGCTACTACTTCATGCTTGTGTCATCTTTCTCCGATACTGTGGGCATTACCGACTATTTGAAAACGACTTAAATCCTGGTTTTTTCTGTTGTAGAAAACCCTTATCAGCAGCTGCCTTGTGATTGTCATGGCAGTATGCCTGGGAAGACAGCAGTAGCTCTTGGTCCTCTCTGGTAAGTTCAGAACACTGTGGAAGTTGGGGAATAACTGAGGCTGAAAGGACCTTTGGAGGTCAGCTGTTGAGTCTTATAGTAAAAATCACAAGGAATCCAGGAAATATTCAATTAATTTGAATTTAGTAGGGTATTTTTCTTCACAGAGTTGAAACCAGTTAATAAGAAAATTGCTTTAAAATTCACAGTCTGTGCAACTTCTGCGAGATGTCCTGCACAGGAGAACCTGGCTGTATGTTTATCTAGTTGCCAAATGTTGAGCAACAGTTGATTACTTGATAGTTCTGGAGAATTTACTAAATCTGTACATGTGCGGACAGTAGTAAATAATCTACTGTTTAGTACTTAGAATTATCTCTTGTGAGAAACAGGAATAAATCCTTTTGTTAAGTCTTTTAGCCATTTCAAAGCAGTATTAAAAATGGTTGACAATTGCCAGTACCTTTCTTCTGGGGTTTAAATTACTTTCTCATTGTAGCAGGGCAAGTCAGTGGTTGAACTAAAATTACTGTTGTTGAGATCTTGATTTTTAACATGAGGCCGACATTACTGTCCCTGGAAACAAAGCAATTCAGTATCGCGAAGTTAAGAACGCAGCCTTATGCAGTGGTTTGGTGTAATATAATTGCTGACCAACCTGGGCAAGAGGTTTTTTGCTTTCATTAAGAAGCCTTAACTTTTCACTTGTCTTGTATGTCCTAGGTCAGGAGCCCTCTTTAATGCTGGATTCCTCAGAAGAATGTATTTGGAGGCTGTCCAGTATGGTTTGGAGGAAACTCAGTCACTTTTGAAGACTTTAGTTTGTGAAGCTGAGTGCACAAAACATTCCTCTATCCACACTGCTCATGATGAGAGCAAACAAGGTAAGAAAAACGGCAGACAGTTCACAAAACAGACACAGGTGAAAACCACGCTCATCTTGGGGACAAACCCATTGATCTAATTGGAACAACAATACTAATTTACCAAACAAATCAGAGTAGTGTAATGAGAAATACAACCAAAACCACTGTGTGTGTGTGTCCCCTTCTTCCCAGGCTCAGCTTTGCTCCCAGTTTTCTGTCCTTCCCTGCCTGCAGCTCAGCTTTGGCCAGAGGTGGGTCCGGCTTGGAGCCAGGGAGCTTCTAGAAGGTTCCCAATCTCACAGGAGCCACCCCTGTAGTCCCCTCAGGCTGTCAGACCCCTGCCACACAAAGCCAACACATGCAGGGAGGTTGACTGCCTTGAATTCCAGCCTGTTACCTGAAGGAGAGAGAAATACAAAGTGTCTGCTTGTTCTTTGGTGTGTCCTGATCCCAGCCCAAGAGAGGACTGTTAGGAAGAGAGAACTCCGGCTGTCATGCTCTGCCTACTCCGCAGTGTGCCAAAGGAGTGGCTTTCCATTCTGTTACATGAAACTGTATTTTCAATATCTCCCTAAATTGAAGTCACCGAGTTTGTAAGTTCCCTATATGTATGCTTCTTAACCATACCTTCTTCTTTAGGCCAGAGCGTGGCATTCTTTCTTCCTTCTTAACCAAGGCATTTTGCCTGTTTACTGTCTTACATTAGAATTAATTTTGACTTTCAATTGTATTCCAGAAGAGTGCGGCGTATATATTAAAACACTAAGTAATTCTCCAGAATGCTTCCTGGTACATGGTAAGTAGATCATTTTGGTGTAGCTCTTAAGTTTCAAAACAAACTATAGTTTACATGATGGCTAAGCTAACCTCGTTTTCACGAGGTTATATATATATTTTAT